GTAGGGAAATCAATCGCTATAAAAACCTCTGCTTCCAATCTGGCTAATCACAGCAATCTATTGCCTCACTTCCATAAGATATCTTAACAGATTCTCCTAAGAAGCAAAGCTTAATTCAAAATGAAGTTCCTCTTTGTGGCTATCCTCATTGTCCTGGCCATTCAGTTGGTCGCATCGCAAACCACAACAACCACTGAAGCAGCCACCACAACCACGACCACGACTACTGCGGCTAGCACCGCTACGACCACCACCACTGCCTCTACCCCCAACAGGATTAAGTGCAACAGGAGCAACAATTGGTGCCACACTCGCATCCCCAAGAAGAAGTGCAAGAACCCAAAGAGGTGCATCAAGACTGTGGTTATTGTGACCCGCAGGAGGGGTTAATCTAAAAAGCTAATAAATAAATAAATATATAAAACTTAAATTTATAATGCTTATTTAATTGTTTGTTCATTCAGCTTACTTAGGTTGTTGTGGTGCAGAAATTGCATACTCACTTTAATAAACCTAGCAGGGTATTATAATATATATTAAGAAGTTTGCAAAGCATATCAGTACTATATTATAAAGCTGATATTGGAACGATCGGAAAATTACCATAAAAATATCTAAATTCATAAAATGGTAACTTTTATGATTTTGGTTTTCATGTTATGAAAATAAGATCACTATATATAATAGCTACCATAGGAAATATACGTTGTATAGAGAAATATTAAGCAATAAACGAAATTTTTAATCGATAATACTTAGTTACATTTTTTATATAAGCCGTGAAATATATTAGTTAGTAGGGACTTTAAAATTGTTTACATTTTTGAAAATCAAATTATTAAAAGATATAGCAAAAGCTAGAACCTAATTCAGACTTTTGGCAATGAAAATTTACCATATTCATCATTTTATACAAACTGACTTAACTTTATTTCTACATTAAAAATAAAGAGCTATATCAGATTTTAAATTGAAAATGATCAAATCAACATTTAATCAAAATCAGCATTTAATTTATGAGATATTTTAAGAAAGCAATTGATTAGAAATTATGATTTATTTAGATTGCTGATCAGGAATATGTATTATTGAATACGGGCGGAAGTGTCTGATTAAGTCACGGTTATACTTAAATGCATGGTTATTAAAAAATCTAATCTTACTACAAATTTACTACAGAATTTATCCCATCTTCGTACATTTGTATTTTCCAATAACTTGGTGATAAAAATACAAGAAGCAGGTAACTGGGTTACTCGACAGGCAGCTGTCTTTAGAAGTCAGTAATCCATAGGGTTTTATTTGTATTTGTTCAATATTTGGTGTTTGAATTTATGTTAACAACACTACATTCCGTTGATATCGATATTTATTTTAATAACATAGCCAAGAAGGAAATCGTTTCTTAGATTATTATTTGGCAAATGAAAAAGTTGAGAATCAAATAGAGAACAGATCCGGATTGGAACTAAAAAGATTCCTATAAAAGCCTCTGCTTCTACTCTGGCTAATCACAGCAATCTATTGCCTCACCTCCATAAGATATCTTAACAGATTCTCTTAAAAATTCAAACCTAATTAAAGATGAAGTTCCTGTTCGTGGCTATCCTTATTGTCCTCGCCATTCAGTTGGTCGCATCGCAAACCACAACAACCACTGAAGCAGCCACCACAACCACAACCACAACCACTGCGGCTAGCACCGCTACGACCACCACCACGGCCTCTACGCCCAACAGGATTAAGTGCAACAGGAGCAACAATTGGTGCCACACTCGCATCCCCAAGAAGAAGTGCAAGAATCCGAAGAGATGCATCAAGACTGTGGTTATTGTGACCCGCAGGAGGGGTTAAAAATTACGAATTGAACTAAATAAATACTTTACAGTAACCAAAAGTAGTACTTCAATGTATTATTGATCGGACATGGCCAGATCAACGCAGCTGTTCATGCTGATCAAGAATATATATGATTTATAGGGTCGGAAATGATTCCTTCACTTTTGATAATAATGTAGCAAAGGTTAAGGTCAGTTTTGAAACGATAGTTAGGGTAATAATTTATAATTAAGTAAGGCTGTTTACTTTAATTATACATTTTGCTGTGTCAGTCTTAATTAAAATTAAGTAATGGATGTCATGGCAATAAGTGAATTAATTGGAAAACAAATTCATATTAAGCACAGCTAAATCTAAACCTAGCACTGATCGCTTTTATAGCATCTTTATAAATAATATAATTGTCATTGTTCCGACTTACCCCAGTTATCCATTTCCTTCACTGCTGACTTTCTTCCAGTGTAGGAGTAATATTCTTGCTAAATTCCAATAGGCAACTCATCGTATCGTCGAATTAAGCATCTTCCTGGTTATCCACATATGCATTGGCCACGTCATGCTTTGCGCAAGCGCAATCACTGCCACTATCACTTTTACTATCACAATAGATGTTATCACTGCAGGTACCACGGACAGACTAAGGGCGGCGCGCCGCTAGTCACCCCGTATTTATAGTCTCCGAGCAGAGAGAGCAGCGAAAGAGAGCGAGAGTGAAAGAGGCTGGCCTAGCGGCTAGGCTGAGTGTGTAAGAGAGCAAGGGCTATCTCCAGAGATGCACAGAGAGTGATGCACATGCCGTGAGCGAGAGAGGGAGAGAGTGAGGGGAGGAGGGCATGTTTTTGTACATTTAACGATTGTTCCGATGGCGGCTATATGATATAGTCGTCCGATTTTAAATATTATTTATTTAAAATAGTACTAAATGGCTTTATCTCAAATTAGATGAAAATATGATAAACTAATAGTTATAATTTGTTTCCTAAAAATTTTACGATCGTTCCTATGTCGGCTATATGATATAGTCGTTCGATCCAACCCATTCCATCTTATATACTAATGCGAAAATATTGATCATTCAGATATCATTTAAACTGAGGAATTATTTTGTGTAAAAATAGTCATATGTGGATATGACTAAACTGATGCTGATCAAGAATATATATAAATATATCGCCGGTTACTATATTGCAAGCTTTTGACTAAAATTATAATACCCTCCAAACTTATAATATAATAAATAAAGAACAGAAATAAATATACAATCTTATCGGGTTCAGGTTAATATTTACCTTGAAACAAATGGTTTGAAAGTAATGTGTATTTTTGGATGGGCAGGTGGAAATTTTCCACTAGGCTATAAAAGATATATGTAGTCTGTGGTAACGATCACGCTGACATTTGCCCCTTATTCCAATAAACAAATCCCAACTTAACCTGCATCTTCCTCTCCAACTTAAATAAACTTTAAGCAATATCCATTTAACTATTAAAAAGTTCTACCTAATAAATCTGTTATTTTTTTTAGCAAAGACAAGATTTTTTTCTTCACATATGAAAAACTTAAGTGGTTATGGTTACTGTAATATTTTTATTTCAATATAAGTCCTAATTCTTAACCCCTCCTGCGGGCCACAATAATTAAGCTGAATGAATAAACAATTAAATAAGCAATATAAATTTAAGATTTTTATATTTCTTTTTTTTATTAGCTTATTAGCTTAACCCCTCCTGCGTGTCACAATAACCACTGTCTTGATGCATCTCTTCGGATTCTTGCACTTCTTCTTGGGGATGCGAGTGTGGCACCAATTGTTGCTCCTGTTGCACTTAATCCTGTTGGGGGTAGAGGCCGTGGTGGTGGTCGTAGCGGTGCTAGCAGCAGTAGTCGTGGTCGTGGTTGTGGTGGCTGCTTCAGTGGTTGTTGTGGTTTGCGATGCGACCAACTGAATGGCCAGGACAATGAGGATACCCACAAATAGGAACTTCATATTGAATTAAATTGGAATTTTTAAGAGAATCTTTTAAGATATCTTATGGAAGTGTGGCAATAGATTGCTGTGATGAGCCAGATTGGAAGCAGAGGTTTTTATGTTATAGCGATTGATTTCCCTACAGACTTGTTCCTCATTCTGTATTAGTAAACACATTGAGCAAATAATAAATTTCGATATTACTTCCTCACTAATAAGGTATTGGGGTTACTAAGACTATATCGAGCTACCAGATTAGCTTTGTTTAACACAAATAACACACTTTGAGGTGGTTTACTTAAAGTAACAAGATATTCGTTGATTTTAAGTATAAAACATAAAAGGAAAATTACTTTAGGCAGCTAAAGTTTATATATTCTTGCAGTTTGCAATTGAATTATACGATCGATTTGAAAATCGATCATAGTTGAGCTGAAATATTTCCATTTAACTATATTTTTAGATATTTTTATATCACAAATTAAAGTTTAAAAAACTCATAACTAAAGAGAAGAAGAAGGTTTCACTTCTCTGCTTTTTTTAATGGAGAAATATCAAAAAAATGCATAACAGATATTTAAGAAATTCCTAATTTAATTGTTAAATAATATTTGTATTTATTAAGAAGATAAACGATACTGATTCCAAGCAGAAATTAAGTCGAAATAAGAATTTCAATTTCAAGTCCAAGGTTTGTGTATTTGCTAGAACTGCAGGTAAAATACTTTGAGATACATTCTGAAATGTAGATACTTTTACTCATTCAACTTGAACAGTTTAAACCAATTTGATATAAAGTTTATAATAAGTCATGATAAATTGTTTAAATAAATGCCGACCCAAGAATAAAGTTCAGTATTTCTATAATAAACATTTTCTTAAACTCTCTATAATTAATTTTAAATACTTTCATATTTATTTAAACTCTAAAGAACTTCAGCCATTTCTATAATTAATCCAAGGAGATCGAACCTGCGCGAATATATTGAACAGAGTCCAATCCAGACCGAAGTGTTTACATTGTCAACAAATGTTTTGCCCCATTGGATCCATTTTTAGCAAAATAAGTTTACGTGGATACCAGGTGCAAACAGGAGGGGCTACCTATAAAAGTTGGGTAAATGCCAAGACTGGCATCAGTTCCAGATCCCCTCTAGGTCCTGAACAAGTCCTTCCCGTTGAGAAACAATCATGAAGCTGACCATTGGCATTCTCTTAGGTAAGTGAAGGTTATGGTTTCGATCCAGGAATCAATTTATATCTCACTTTATTCACAGCAAGCATCCTAATCATTGGATTGGTTGACTTCTCCGATGCAAGTTTCCTGCCTTGGCCACCAGCACCTTGTGAGCCCAATCCCCCAAAACCTAAGCCACCAGTAAAGCCACAACCTAAGCCACCAGTAAGGCCACAACCTAAGCCACAACCCAAGCCAAAACCTAAGCCACAACCTAAGCCACAACCCAAGCCTTGCAATCCCCCACCATGTGGTCCCGGTGGTGTTCCTTGTGAAGGATGCTGCGACAGGGACAATCTTTGCAAGGAACTCATTCAAATGGTTAGTGAATTGGATGCCAAGGTCAAGAAGTGCGTCTGCGGCGTAAAGTTTATCTAAACGGAACTTGAACTTGAACTTGACTTGGTAATCAATCGTTCGTTATTGTGTTTCTTTAACTAATTGATTTTGTTTTTGCTTTTTTAATAAATTTGTTCTTTTTTAATATATAAATTATATATGCGTTAGGAGTAGGTTTAAAGCCTTTAAGCCTTTGGTAATAATCAAGGGATCAGCTTCGTGTGGGGGGACTTTCGGCCTTAAGATCGGCTTGGATCATTTTAACTTCGGCTATAAGTTCGGCTTGAGTTCGGCTTGTCTTCGGCTTAAGTTCGTCTTGACTCGGCAGCTTCAAGCGATCCGCTGGCCACTCGAGCAACAGTACTTGCCGAAGGCAGTCGGGTTTTCGGTGGTTGTAACGCTTTCGGTATATCAAAAGTATCAGTGCTAATTAAAAGTGATCAAAAGTTGTTAAAATAAAAAGATACATATCCCAGGATGCGGTGACCTTGATCGTTGGTGGGTCCCACAATTAAGATCAAGCCCAATTGTGTATATTTTTGTGTGTGTCTTAAAGCCAAGATAAAAAAACCGCTCACCTTCAAATTGTCAATTGCATTGGCTTAATGGCCTGGCAATCTCAAGAATCTGGTCCTTTGTGTGGCGTCTTGAATTGAATAATATGGATATGCCCCATGCTAAATGACTAAAAATGCTAACCCCTGCTCCTACCCTCAAGTATGTAGATGTCTATCTCTACCTTGTGGCTAAAGGTAAAACCAAACCCGGCTGCTAATCGCCAGCAGACAATCGTCGGCATCCAAAGGAGACCTGAGCTGAGTTGAGCTCCAATTTAATTGCTGGATGGGACCACCCATTCTTTGACAAAACATTGGAACCATTGTAGTTTTGCTCAATTTATTAATGGTGTAACCAGAGAGCTCACAGATTTTGCCACAAGGAGTCGAGGGAATTTGAATTGGCATAGCAAATATCGATCCCTATCAAAGTCATATGCAGAGGCTGAGGTATGCAAAGTGTTCTGGAGAAGACAGGCTCTGTCTCTGGCCAAGACCTTAACTAGTTTGGAAAGGAAAGAAACCTTAAGGCAAATGGCATTTGAGTTTCGTGTGAGGAAATGTTCATCAGATTGAATGGGAATGTATAAGCAAGGAGATCTTTTGAATATATATAAATATTTTTTAACAAAGAAAGAAAAATAGTAATAGGTTGTAAATGTAAGCAAACTGTTGCAAGAATTATTTTTTAATTTCTATAGTTTCTCAATCGCTAACTATTAAAGCAAAATTACTGTCGAATTACCAAATATTCAGGGAAATTATAAATCAATTTAAACAAAAAGAAAAGACAATACATATATGCTTTTGCAATTGCCGGCTAAAAGGGCTTGGCGCCGAAACCTGACCTCCCATCGATGTGTCGGGTGTGTTAACCTTTCAAGGTGGTCAAAGGCCCCTTTTATAGTGAAAATTCGCCTCAAATTATTTGCTGAGTGGCACTAGAATGATTGAGTCACAAGACAGGCATTTCCCTGTGGCATTAAAGTCAAAGAAAAACTCTTTTCTTTCTTATAGTTCCCTTTGGAATGGAGTCCAGCAGCAGCGGTGCAATTATGGATATGGAGGGCTCTAGTCCTGGGGATCCTTCCCAACCCACTCAGATCACCTCTATAGATGGATTTTTCAATAGGAAAAGAGGTCGCCCGCCAAAGAATCGATTTGTGGAGGTCTACAAGAGTGTGAGTAATTTATAATAAAATATTATAACTTAAAGATTAAGGTATTCTTAGGGCTTAAGTTCATCTCCCTTCTTGACCACTTTCTCAACACTTTTCCTATAATTTTCCAAGTTCATTTTACCAGATTCTCATTGACAAATACTTGAGCTTCGTTTCGACCCAATTGCGTGACTCCTTTTCGGTCTGTCTGCGACCCAAAGCGAGGCTCAATTGTAATTAGGAATTTGCGCCTATTTGTGTGCAACGTCAGCCATTCTGGCCAGAACCTCTCCCCCCTCTCCCTATCCCCCTCGATCGATTGGGCCCTAATGTGGCATTTTGTGTGCTGTGCGTTGAATTGAGTTTTTCGGATTTGGTTTTTGCCATATTCGTCATATTAATATTGACAACGAGTGTTTCCGCATTTATTTCATTTGCCGTCTAGCGTCGATGGCGACGACGTTGGCACTCCACCACCACCTGCCCCACCTGTCGTCCCACACCCCTCACTCCCCCGACTCCGAACGTTTTGTGCTTTTAACTGTCATTTTCATAATTTCTACAATTTTTTATATATATTTTTTTTACCTGGAGCCAAGCCGAGCTCATGCACACGCACCAGATCGCACTTGTGTGTTTGCTTACGATTACCCAGCCCACGCGCCACTCTCCTTGGTGTGCACACACACTCTGTACGTGGTCGATACACTGGGAATATAGTTTTACTAATTTACAATATTTTAAATATAAAATGTTAAGGGTTTTTGGGGAATTTTTTGAAAGATTTTAACCTTAATTGTTTGAGCTATAGGAATGTTTTAAAAGTTTATCTTTGGAGAAAGTGCTTACTGACTCTAAGAACCATTTTTGAAGATTTGCCATAAAATAGGTTTATAAATTTATAATATATTGTAAGGTAATAAGTATTTTTTAAAAGGAATAAATAATAATTAATTAGTTAGTTAGTATTTCTTAATATTTTCTCATAATAATAATTTTACAATCAAAAGTTATAGTTTAAAGACCTTTTCTTGAACCTAAAACCAATTTCAGTCTTTTAAAAATATTTTAACACTTATTATAAATTATTTTCTAGGTCAAAAATATTTTCGGATAATTTTTATTTGATTTAAAAAATTTAAAAGTTTATATTTCTTGTTGGAAGTTAGTTTTTGGCAAAATATATTTGATGATAATCATTCATTTTAATCTACTTCTCATTGGTGTTACATTTTGTTGGGATTTAATAAAAATGAAAATAAATTTACAAATAAAATATAAATTTAATACCAGACATTTCTCCCAGTGCCTTTTCCCAGTGTGAATAAAAATTTCAATTTGAATAAATATTTTGTCCATTGCCATTTGAGGCATTCTTTTGGGAAATAAGCCGCAGCACCAACATTGTGTCTGGATCGCCTCGGGGGGAGCTGTGGTGACCCAAATCGGTGGCAGGAATCAAGGTGGTGCTACGGGTGGCACCACCACCACCACCACCACCACCCACTACCCACAAACCTTGTAAATTCGAACCCCTTCGATAATCCCGCATGGCGATGGCAGGGATCTGATACGCAGCACTAACAATAGCAATAATAAATATGATAAATATAATAAATAATTTCTATACACACTTAAAGCGTATTTAATCAAATAAGGTGTGTGTGCGGCAATGAGAGTGTGTGAGCCACAACTTATCGGGTAAAGGCAAACTCGTTTCATTGTCTTTCAATGTTTTCGGTGTAATTATTGTTAAAAATTATAAAAGTATGACTATACTCTGCGGTACATTAAACTATTTAGTTGAGGATTAAAAGGGTATTTTTAATAAAACATATCAAAAACTAATTTTAAAAATTATGCTAAATTTTTTAATACATTTTGTGTCAATCAGAAGCTTGTTATGATGTGAAGGAGTCTTTTCCGACCCTATAAATCATATATATTCTTGATCAGAATAAACAGCCAAGTCAATTCAGATATATCTGATAAAAAATAATTTTTTTCAAATTTTTTTTCCAAAATTTCAAATAATGATAAGGTGTTACATCGTTAAAATTTTCAAAAAAATGTTAATTTCTTTTAATTTCAAATTAATTATGCAGATTTATTAACCTTCTAAACATTGGACAGCTTTCCAAATTAAATTTAATGCTTTTTTTTGGCTTATTTATGAGATTTTTAAACTTTGATTATTTGTCGAAAAAATGTTCATATAAAAATATTGATAAATATCGATTGGAAAACAATCTTTTTGAAATACCCTAAAAGCTCTTTTGCCATGACTCAAATATATTTTAGTTTGTCCTTAATAACCGTATTAAATAATAAGCCAATATTTTAAAAACATTTTAAATTCGATATTTTTCCATCCCTCAACTTTTGATATATCAATCATAAGTTATTTTCGATACCATATCCATAATATCCATTACTATTCCCATTTAAATATTTCTATATAAAGGGAAAAATATTTTAATTGCGACTTTCGTAAACCCATTTATGGGATTTCAATATCTTTTTTAGGGTATCAACAAGTTGCACTTGTATTTATTATTCCATTTGGTTTCTCTTTTGTTTTGCTTTTGGCTTTTTCACTTGACTCGTTCTTTCTCTTTTTAATTTTGTTCGTTTTTATTATTGATTTGATGCGTGAACAAAATTTAAATAGTGACATTTTGGGCCAACAGCGACAAACATTAACAGTAATTTCGGAAATACGAGTAATAAACTGGTTGCGGTTGCCGATTGTTTGTCATAAATCCAAAAACAAAACAAAACAAATATTCAAAATCCAAAAACTATGACTGACAATGACAGTCGAGTACGGCCCTGCCATGCCAAAGTAATTTAATTCCATGAAAGGCGCCCCCACATCACATTTGGGGGAAATAATATACATTCCGATTGTTTACTAACTGAAAATATTAACAATATATGTGAATATGAATGATTTTGATTTCAATACAGGCTCAGCATTCGCCACAGGCCATTTTCACCAGCTTTAAGCTGGAGAGAAGCGATCATCCTTCACCTGCTTCAATACCCAGCTCAATGGGGGAAACCCTAGAGGAAAGATTGCCCCGAATGGATCACGATGGATCATCATCATCATCATCAATGGTCACAGATCTCAATCCTAGTCGGAACCGGAAACGAGGTCGTGTTTGGGCCCCAAACTCAGTAACTACGGAGCAGTCAAGTCGAAGGAATCTAACAGTGAGAACTGAGGCCACCTTACAGAGTAGCCACATTGAGGCTGTGGCTCAGGTAAGACCATTTAATTAATAGAATTTAAATATATTAAATTTAAATTCATAAAACTATGAAAATTATATTAATTTAGCCCAATACACAACCAATAGAATCTATAGTTGCAAGGAAGCCAACTTGCAAGGAACTGGAAAGGAAATCAGGTAAAACTCAAGTTTAGAATTAACTCAGTAAACTTTTAAAAAATAAGTAAAAGTAATAAAAAATTATTGAATAAATAATCAAAATAAATAACATTCAATCCCCCATAACAGTAGTTCGTGCCGCAGGAACATTTTATCCCGAAAATGTGAATTCTTCCCTGGGAGAGGAAATCTCAGAGGCACAGAGTCTCACCCGGCTTCGTGAGGAGTCCTTGGACTTGGATGTGGATCAACCAGAGGATCTTAGTATGCGTCCCTCCCTGCTGCCAGAGACCTTGACCACAGCAGGAAGAGTGGGTGTGGCACCTCCTCTGAGCATGAATCTGTTGCAGTTCAAGCAGCTAATAGACCTTTATCAGAGGCAAGTGCTGCTGCCCAGCTTTCTGGCTGCAGCCACTCAACCCCTGGCAGGAGGAGCAACAGGAGCAGTGCCAGGAGCTGCAACATTAACAGGATCAGCAGCTGGACCTCTGCTAGATGTAAGGTTACTCCTAGGGAATGCTGCCCACCAGAAGTTTCTCCTACTCAATGCAGCAGCAGCAGCAGCGGCAGCAACGGCAACTGCAACAGCCGCTGCAGCAGCTGCAACTTCAGAAACGGGACAAAGGACTCCGGTTAGAAGGAGTCGGGATCAGGACATACCCACTGGCTACTTGAAGTTCCGATTTAATGAGGACTGTGGCTTCGAGAGGTGTGGCTATAGGAATCATCAGTCGCATTTCCATTGCAACAGAAGGGATTGCCACTATAGCTTCTGCGACAAGACGAGGTTTGTGCAACACACGGCACGTCATGAGAGGATGGATACACTGATGGGTGACGACTTCCGGCAATTTCGGGCCAACATGCAGTGCGGAGTGGCCAGTTGCTCTTATTCACTTGGAGGAGTCACAGAGTCCTCCTCCCAACAGCAGCAGAGATTAGGTGAGAAGTTGCTTTACTTTACACTTTCCGACGCACTAAACCCTAATGTTTAATTCAAAATAAATTTAAAATGAAGGAAAGCTAGTGCTGATTTAGAATATATATCCCTAAAAGCCTTGAATATATATCATAAACTAATGAAATCTCTTCCCTTGACCCGCAGATGAGGCCAGTGGCGCTTCTTCCAAGAAGACATCCCACTTTCACTGTCGCAAATGCGACTATGTCTGCACGGATTCCAACAAGGTGGTTGCCCATCGGCGGTTACATCTCCGCCAGGATTATGTCCGCTCTGCTGGCTTCCGGAAGGTGGCCGGAAATGAGGCTTGCAACTCTACATCCTGCTCCTATGCCCTAAGGCACACACACTATCATTGTGTTACCTGCGATGGCGGTGTTCTCTCCCGGGCACAACTGGCAGCCCACAAACATCGGACACCTTTGACCAAATCGGATACAACTCCATAGGGATTGGATTTATAATTTAAAATAATATCCATTTCAGAACATTTAGAACAAATTATTTGACTGTATTGCTTTTAATAAAATATGTAATATATGTTCTAACTTCTTGTTTTCATCACATACTATTTGTTGTAAGGTAAGTTAAGGGGTAGATAACCATAATAAATAGTTACCAAAATGACGTGTACTTATGGGAAAACAACTTTTGTATACTCTTGCAGCTTGCAATTAAATCAGGGGGCCAAGTTTATCATAATTAGGAAAATGGATTAAATCGGAAATGACTCAGCTTTTTGTGCTGATAAAAAATATGTAAATATGTATTTGAAACTATAGTTATGGTAATTATGGTGATTATTCATTTTCCTTTATCATTTCCAATTAAAATTAAGTAATAGGGTCCATGGTTCCATTAATTGGAAAACAAATTCATAGCAAGCACAATTTATTCTAGAACTGATCCCTCTTATAGCATCTTTATAAATAATATAATTGTCATTGTTCAGACTTACCCCAGTTATCCATTTTCTTCACTGCTGACTTTCTTCCAGTGTAGGAGCAATATTTTTACTGACTTCCAATCGGCTTATCATTGTATCATCAAATTAAGCATCTTCCTGGTTATCCACATATGCATTGGCCACGTCATGCTTTGCGCAAGCGCAATCACTGCCACTATCACTTTTACTATCACAATAGATGTTATCACTGCAGGTACCACGGACAGACTAAGGGCGGCGCGCCGCTAGTCACCCCGTATTTATAGTCTCCGAGCAGAGAGAGCAGCGAAAGAGAGCGAGAGTGAAAGAGGCTGGCCTAGCGGCTAGGCTGAGTGTGTAAGAGAGCAAGGGCTATCTCCAGAGATGCACAGAGAGTGATGCACATGCCGTGAGCGAGAGAGGGAGAGAATGAGGGGGTGAGGGCATGTTTTTGTACATTTAACGATTGTTCCTATGGCGGCTATATGATATAGTCGTCCGATTTTAAATATTATTTATTTAAAATAGTACTAAATGGCTTTATCTCAAATTAGATAATAATATAATTAACTGAATAGTTATAATTTGTTTCCTAAAAATTTTACGATCGTTCCTATGTCGGCTATATGATATAGTCGTCCGATTCTAATATTATTTATATATTATATTCAATTTATGTATATATTATATTAAATAATACTAAATGGCTTTATCTTAAATTATTATTATATATTCATTTATGTTTTGAACTCGAAAAGTTATAATTTTGCTTTTTTAAATAAAAATATTTTAATTTAATAAACAAAATTATAATTATATATATGTATACTTTTTCTTTCTTATAAAATTAAGAAGAATATTTAAAAAAATAATCAGAAATAGATTGTAATGATTTCTTTATTAAGAATAGGTTTTGGGTCTCTTCTAGACCCTAGAAATATTTATTTAATAGCTTATATTTTAAGTTTAAATGCAAAAATTAAAAATATAGTCATGAAAGAGTAAATATATTTTATAAATACTAACTAATTAATTAATTAATTAATAGAATAACTACCTCACGTTATGGTAATTTTAAAGGTCCAGGCAAAGTCTAGTCCTCTCTTATCAATGTGATTTTTAGGAGGAAACACAATATGCAATTTATTACGATCCGTAGTCCACTGAAAAAGAACATTTAAATTGGAAAACAATTTTGTTATATCTCAAACTTAATTCCTACCAGAATTTTGGTATCCTCCATGCCCAACATGACCACCTTTGTGCTTTGTTGATTTAAAATATCGCCACCTGTGCCCATATCTATACCCGTCAACATGACATTTTGGAAAATATTGATATCCCTGCCCAAAGGATAAATGTCCAGCTCATTCGTGTCATAAGGATAATCCAGGACAAAGGCATAGACAGCAACGCTGCCATTGGAAGCCTCCTGGCGCCTCGTATACCAAACATTCGGTGTGATGGTATCATTCTGATAGATCCAAGGAGCAGAACCATAGATACCCTCACCATTGATCCTCAGCCAGCGACCCATGTCCCTTAGACGCTCCTCGAAGATGGGCAAAATGGTGCCAAATTTGGTGGGTCCCACATTGATAAGGACATTGCCATTGCAGCTGACAGTGGTGACAATTTCTGTGAATAAATTTGCTTATCTTATAAACTGATTTCCAGGTTAAACTTAACCCACCTTTGATCACCTCCTTGGAGGTCATAAAGTCCGCCAAAGTAACATCGAATCGCTGTCCCCAGCTGGTTTTATCCAAGGTAAAGGCATTCTCCCATTTGTGAGCCTGCAGGATGCCAGGATTAAAGCGATCAGCGCAATTATAAAAGTCACCATGCATGCAGGCAGTGCCAAAGCCCCAACGATCATTGGTGACCACTGTCTCCCGCACAGGACTATCATTATATAACCAGGCAATGAACTCCTCGGAACGCCAGTACTTCGCTGGAGCTTCCCAATCGCCATCGGACCAAATGATCTCTGGAAGATATTGCTGCACCAGTTCCATCTGTTCGGGACGAACTTTTCTATCCACAAAATGCTGCTGCATAAGCAGATGCAACTTGTCATCGGTCCACAGGGGATTGAACCACTCAAAGAGAGAGTAGTAGAGTCCAAATTTCAAATCAGATTCCTTGCGAACAGCGGCAGCAAGTTCCTCTATAAGGTAGAGAGATGGGTTTTAGGAATTAAATTATATATCTATATAGAGTTAACCCACTGATTATATCTCTTTTGGGACCCACATCCATGGAATTCCAACCAAAGCTGCTCTTGGAGGGCCACAGCGTGAAGCCATCATGATGTTTGCTTGTGAGAACTACATATCTAAAGATTATGATAGGAATTAATATTCGAAAGAGCACAGAGATAAGGGTATTATATATATAATATGTTATAAACAAACCTGGCTCCACTATCTCGAAAAAGTAACGCCCATTGAGTGGCATTGAATAGCTCAGCGGTGAATTGTCCAGCAAATTCCTGATAACTAAAGTCGGGCTTATAATTGCGTTGCATGAATTGAATGTACTCCGGATTACGAAGATCTAAAATGGTGGGAGGGTAAATTATTATGAATTATAATATATTTATCATAGGTATACCCACTTTTCCAATTAGTCCAGAACCATTCAGAGCCAAAACTGGGCACCGAATATACACCATAATGCAGGAATATGCCCACCTTGGCCTCGTCATACCACCTGGGCAAAGGTCTCTGATCCAAGCTGGCCCAGTTGGGTTCATAACGTGTCCTTGGTCCTGGCACCTGGGACATCACCATCACCTTTGAGTTGGAGAGCCAAGCGATCTGTATCGCCAGCGGTAAAAGCGTCCAAGCGGAGATTGCCATTTCCTCAATTAGCCGGTGATATGATTCTGTTTGTTTTGTTTTATTTTTCGAGTCTCTTTGTTTAAGTATTTATTCACTCACTGTGAAAGGTCTGACTCGGTCCACGATCAGAACTCAACTGAGAGTAGTCTCTGTGGAGGGTACAATTCTCTGAACTGGCAGCTGAATGTGTACGAGAAATGAGATACATGAGTCGGAGGGTGCACTTGAAAAGATGAGTGTGAATTTAAGAGATACAAAAAATATGAGTAAGATCTTCAAGCTGGTAAAGTGAAATACATATAATATATAATATTTTGTGATTTCTTCCAATTCAAGCTTACCTTTTAGGGTTTTTTTCCGAGTGTTTAAAGAGCTATGTATATATTTTAGCACCAAACTGTTGATAAGAAATGAAATTGTGGTTCGGCATAGGTTTGTTTATCAGCGTTTTTAATTTGTAAACAGGTTTAGCTTTCAAACAAAAAATAATAATAATTATCTATAATTTGTGTTACTTCTATTACAAATAATTCAGTGAAATGGGTTACAAACAAGAGCTATATGCAACAGCTGGTTCTTTATAAACACAAACCCCTCAAAAGTATGAATATAACAATAACAATATAAGACACAATTAAAAACGAATTAAGCTCAAGCTCCTCATTTTAATTCGACATTTGTTTTCGAAACCAACAATGCGTTTTCGAATTAATAATTTGCATAAAGTGAACGGCAAAAATAAACAATGTGTGTGAATTAATTCAAGACTCTAAAGATCGAATCGTCCGACTGCAGTGCGATGACGACGACAGACCCGTGGTGCATGATGCCAGGACAAGAGTGGTGGCGGTGGTGGCGGGGGCGGTGGTGTATCCCGACGTCGCCGATTGTCCGAGAAATGCTCCGTATCTAATCCCACCTTGAGATCATAATCCGGAACGCTATTAAGCGCAATCTTGTACATATATTCATACTTTTGAGCCAGAGTCAGGAAATTGGATTGCCCGGGACCGTCGTGGAATTCCAGGGGTGTGAAACGAGCAAAGTTAATCAATCCCACGAGATCGGCAATATAGTTGACTTTCTCCTCCTCCTTGGTGGGCATGGAACCGGAAGTGGTTTCTCCAGCTGCTGCTGCTGCTCCTGCTACAGCTACTACTGCCGCTGGAACTGGGACATTGGTTGGTGTCAATTCTCCGGATGATTCCTCCCCATCGCCAGGAGGAGTATCTTCTGTGGTCACCACCTCAGTGGGACTATCAATGCCATAGATGCCATTATGCTTGAGGTACATTTCCAGCACACAAAAGCGATCAGATTCGGACATCTTACCGGAAATTACCTCTAGGTAAGACTTGAATACCTCCGGATTGAATTCATAAACACCCGATTGGGTAAGGGGACTGGTGAAGTTGCATCTCAAGACCCAACCCACTTGTTCGATCATATTCTGTTTGTTGAGACGATGTGCAAACTGGAAGAGCTGCAACAGCTCCGTCATCCCATACGAATCCTTGCGGCTGAGGAGCTCATGGACACAATCCTCCTCGATGGCCTGCACAAGATATTTGTTCCCGAATTCACACAATTTTATCAATGTGTCAAAATCATAATTCTGCAGCTTCTGGTACTCATAGCCATAGAGATAATCCCGGAATCTCTCGAATATACCCGGATCCACATCGTTCAGTCGCACCTCACCGCTACTGGCCTCCGAATAGTCACCGTACAGCATTCGATCAAAGACCTCAGAGGCGCAACTAAAGATGAGCTTGTGGCAACGGAAGCGTCTTATCCCAACGGAGTTTTCAATGATGAAAATGCAATCTGCATGGCGATTGGTTTTCCCAATTTCCACAAGGGAGGCGCTCAATTTGCGATGGGGAGTTGTGCGCAATTTGGGCCTGCAATTTTCAAGTTCAGTCATGAGTGTTATGAGTGTTAAGTGATTAATACTCACCAGCCTGGGTCGGCCATCTCGGACCGATGCACTTTATATATTTCGAACGAAAAATTTTGCCTTGAATTTGATTCGAAAATAATGTGCTAATTTCTGTCTGACAGACTTAACATACGTACAAATTGTGACAGAAACTGGGTATTAGTTTGCTTTTTGATTAAAAGAAAGAAAAAAAAACATCGATATTCGTTTTACGATACTCGATATTTTTCAAATGGAAAAGGCTACTTCAGACTCATAATTTTTAGTTTATTATTTCTTTATTCCAATTCCGTTATTTTTTCAGAAATTATTTTTTACAAAAATTTCAATGTTCTCTTGTTAAAAATATTGAAATAAAGATATTTACAAAAATGAAAGGTTTCCACGCTCTACTTTTTGGTGTAAAGTAAACCAAAGACTACTGGGATTTACTTTAAAAGCAAAAAGAAATGGATTTAAAAAACCTTAAAAATAAAATGAACAATAAGAAAACATGAATTTCTGATCTTTTGAGCGAGGACTCAAACCCACTCAATCAGAGTGCGAGTGGGATAGCTATAAGGTATAAAGTTTATACTCTAATAACTCCATTGATTATAATCCGATTATACTCAAATTTTAGGATAAGCTTCTTTTTAAACCCAATTAAAACTTCACATCTCAATTGAACATAACAGTTTATTTTTTATTATCTTTTTTTTTCATGCTTTTGCCTTGCTTGCACTTATTTGTTGTTTTTTATTCTTATTTGTTTGTTTGCTGACATAAAAGGTTGTTTGGCTTTGCATTCAATTTCATTTCCATTCTATTTGCACCTGTGTTCTATAAATAACTCACATACCTACATATAAATACACCTGTGTGTGTGTGTGTTTTTGCATTTCATTAAAAGTTCAACAGATCAAAGGTTAGAGGGTGTGAATGTGTTGCCTGGACAGTAGTAGTATTTCTCTGGATCAAGTTGCTTTATTATCTACATAGTACATTTTTTGGGGGGGAAGGTGAACCATTGTGATACACAAAATTTGCCTCTAATATTCTACACTGAATGCCTTGTCAGCTTCTGTTTTTTGGTTTTTATTAATCTTTTCTAAAGTAAGTTTCCTTCATTGCCATTTGAGTTCGCTATGGGCTATTTAACACAACACAATACAGTAAGTAAGTACAACATACAAGTCCCTTCTATTTGTTTTTTTTTTTGGGCAGAAGCATAAATCTTGTTGTTTGTTCGTTTTTTACTCATTACCCTATATATTTTAATTAATTGTTCCGATCAATCCAACCAACTTGGTTTTAAAATTTAACAAGGTGTAGAGAGAGTGTGGAATGTGTGCTCTTTCGTAGCATACTTCGCGGAGATTATTTGGTGCCATCTCTTTGGTGTGATAGTGTGTGTTACCATACATAAGACGTGAAATATTCGGTGCATACCGGCAGGCGACAGTTCGCTGTGTGTGAATGTGACATTTCGGTGCATACCTTCAGGCTGACTTGTGACAAATTACACTGCTTGGAAAATATTGATGAATTATGGATGTATTTAATTTTTAAACAGCTTTTCCTTGCGTTTAGCAGAACAGGTAAGTGATTTATGTTAAAGAACAATTGAACGCACTAATTTAAACAATTGTCTTTGACTAGATGTGCCAAGATAAAAACGTATAAAGGAAAAGAATCTATAAAAATATAGAACCTGAACAAGTCTAGAATAATCTATTAAAAACAAGTTGTAACAAAATTCTAGTCTAAGAATAGGTCAGGATTTCTAATCTCTTGAAAAAGCATCAAAAATATGGAAAAATAATGCATTTAATCTTAAAATATTGGAGTTAGTAATATTATTTGTTACCTCTTCCCTAATATTTTAGTTTAAACAGAATAAAGATTTATTGCACATGTATCGCAACATTAAAAAATCGATTTATGTGTCGGATCTATCGAAATTCGCTTCAAACATTCAAATATTATCGATTTATTGAAATTTTCTGACACATTTTCAAGAGATTTTCAAAAACCTTAACGATTTCTATTCAATATTTCATAAGTTTGGCATAAAAGAATATAAAAGGAAACTAATTTGAAAAGGATATAGCAAAAAATTGAATCTTCCATAATATATATCTTTATAGTGACATTTATCTTGTGTTGCTGTATTCTTTTTTGAGTAGTTCAAAACTGTTTTATTATTATTGCTGCCTTGAAGGCGTTGACTTTGCATTTGCACTCAGGCTTCAGTCAGGAATTGTTTTTCATTTCATTTTTTGTTTGTTTTATTTTGTAGTTTTAGACGAGGAAGGTTAAAATACTTGTAAAGCATAAGCAGGCGACAACTCTAAACTCTATGCTTGCAGTCCCCTCTTGCTTGTCTCTCGGCGCCTCTGTCTCTATACAATAAGTACATTATCTAAATCAACTTTACGGAACTACAATGCCAACTTCGATTAGCGTTTTCAATAATTTTTGTTGCTTGTGTTTTATGCTGCTTGTTGTTCTTGTTCTTTGCATTTTTATGTTTTCTCTTATTTGTTTTTTTGTTGTTTTTTATTATTTTTACAATATTTTCAACTTTAGGATCATAGATGTAACATTAAATAACATTTTTGCGTAAATCTAGTATTTCTAATGTTTTTTTCTTTTCTCTTTTTGTTGTGGCTGTTTGCTGCTGCTCCTGCTGGTGTTACTGCTCTCTAGTTAGCCGCACACTATGCCGTGGTGGTGGAGGATGCAGCTGCAGTGGCTGTTCCGGTACCACCGACTCCGACACCACCGCCGCCACCGCCACCGCCCGCCGCATTGCACTGTATGAGCCCGCTGTGCTGCTGCTGTGACTGCTGCTGCGCCGCATGGTGATGATGGCCATGGTGGCCGTGTCCATGATGATGATGGTGATGGTGGTGATGGTTCAAGTGATTCAGATTATGATTATTGTTATTATTGTTGCTAAAGTTTAAATGTAGTGCGCCCGCGCCATTATTCAAAGCGGCAGCATCCGGTCCTCCGGTTGCCGCTCCACCCGCTCCCGCTGTCGCAGCAGCCGTTGCCGCCTGAGGAACCGCCGAGGTGCAGTAGCGCGTTGTATCACCAAACTCGCCGCTGGTCAGGTCGCCCAGTATGCCGCCTAAGAGGCCACTGCTGCCGGCCGGCTTACAGCCCGCTCCGGCCTCTGGTTGCGTGCAAATTGGCGGCGCCGCCGCATCGCCATCGATTAGGGATACAGATGCCGAGGCGGATGTGCTGCCATTGTTGCTTTGTGAATTGACATGCAGGGCCTCCGCCGAGGAGGTGCTGTTGCTGTTGCTGCTGCTGTTGTGGTGTTGCTGCTGCTGCTGCTGTTGCTGATGCTGATGATGCTGCTGCTGCTGCAGGTCACCAGCTGAGGCGGCGGAGGAGTGCTCATGAACCGATGACGAGGATGAGGCATCCTGACAGCCACCAGTGTCATCGGTGAGACGAAGGGCCACCTCCAAATCGCGCAGAACGTCCGTCTCCTTCTCATCGATCAGGTTGAAGCGCCGGTGGAGGGCGGTGAGGTGCGCGAACGTCAGATTTAAATGGGTGTGCAAGCCGAGCAGCGCGATTTCTCGGAAATGCGCCGCATACAGATGCGCTATCACATGAAATTGCAAGCGTAGTATCTTCCGCGCGATCGACTCGAACGAGCCGGGGAACTCGTTGGCGTATTTGGTTGGGAATATCGACTCATCGCTGACCGTCTTTTGGGTGAATGTCATCACATAGTCGATGTATTGAGGCGCTGCTACGCGCGTCTTCTTGCCCTTCTCGTCGAACCATAAGTACGTTCTGTGGAAATTTTAAATTTAATATATAATTAGTAAAGTTTTCATGGGAATTTAAAGTTCAATTCATGCGCTTACCTGTTGCCGGGTCCGGTCATATCGGCACAACCGGATTGTGTACAAAATTCACTAATAGTTCCATAGACCAAGTTCACGTGCTCAAATAGAGCCAGGGCTGAAAGGAAATAGGAGTACAACACATTTATTATTAATCATTGTGGCCTTAAAAATGGATGCGTATTTTAAATTATGTGAAAAGGAAGGGTACAATTTTTTAAGTTCACTAAATAAGATATCTCACATGTTGGCATCTAACTATTATTAAGAATTTATTACCAAAGGAGGCTTCTGTAGCAGTTGTGATTTTAATTTAATGATAATAATCGATTATTTTGATGGAGATATAGTATTTAATCGCTTAATTTTCTATAAATCTATGTTTTTCATTTCTTTCTCAGCAGAAGATGGCATTTATGCAATATATTTGCCAGTAATCCATTCCCAAAAAGCAAATAAAAAAACAATTCAAGGTTTTTGGCAACAGCTTTTAGTGTTTAAACTAATCGTGATAGTTAAGTTGATACATTTTATCGAAATAATCGATTATTTTCCTAAAAATCAAGGCACTGACAATAAATTCTTCCCATAAGATGCTAAATATTAAATGTATTTGCAGAAAGTTCACCCAAAATACAAATGAAAATGCTTTTTCCAAATATTTAACTAACCGATAGTTAACATTCTGATAGTTTTGGAACACTGATACCATATTATAACCGATTGTGGTTGGACATTTGCCTCTGGTATTGATTTCTTGCATTTTCTGTTCCACAGAGATAAGACCCAGGCTGTGTGCTCATCAAGATATGTATTGAATGGTAAGGTCAATGCCGAACCAATATTTGCACAAGTGTCCTCATTACGTCAGTCAGAGGAGGTGCATTATGAAATGGCAAGCAGCAGCACCAGTATTTGGAGCAAGAATAAACCCAATTCAAAGATAAGCCAAGGATGGGAGGGGGAATGAGTCTCCAAAGTCAGCAATCTCAAATATTAAATTTGCATATATGAACTTGCAGCTGACGCCATCGGGCTTCAGGCGACGTCAACTGACCCTGATCGTTGCGCCCACCACAAACACAACTTGGCTTTGATTGTTTTTCCGAAAAACCCCAAGGGAAGATGGAAAAATTAAAAAAAAGTCTTGAAGATGGAAGGAGGAGCTACAATTTGCTGATACATTGCCAATTATTCGCCTCATTTGAGTCAACAAAGAACTGTGTAATTTGCATTCTGCCACCCAGCAAACAGATTATTTACAAGATGATGTAATAATCTTAAACTCAAAATCGATTCTGTTCTCCTACGATGATGTAACCAGAGAAGAAGACCCTCCTCCAGGCAAAAAAGGGGGCTAATTAAGATGTGACTCACAAAAGATTCTAGCAAAAGGGGGTAATCTATAAAGTGTCTATAAATCCCAAATTTCAATTTAATTAAATGGCAAAGTGATGTAAGCTTCAATAGCTTAGAAAGAATATATAAGAGATTAATTTATAAAAACTATAAGACTTATAAAACCAAACTAAACTTTCTAAATACAATTCAGATCACCTGATTTTATGTACCTAAGTTCTCCTGCACTTTTGTCCGACTGCAGTCTAAAGATAATGCTATCGGTCGTACTATATATATATCTCTAGTCAAGTTCATTGGCTGGACAATGTATAATATATAGGTTTAATGGCCTCCAGAGTGTAGGTTGTGTCTCATAAATCGGGGCACTCAACCGGAGCCGCCACTAAGTGGCCAAAGTCGAGATTAGGCATTATCAACTATCAACTTTTGCCAAACAAAAACAGCAGCCGATTGTTAAAACTCATTTGTAAATCACACGATAAAGCTGACAATAACAATGGGGGGTTAAATAAAAGCAAATCGAACGAGAAAAAGTACTGAAAATCACGTGAATTTTAAATTTGAGAGTGATTAATTCGAGTGAGAGATTGTTCTAGGGAATAGAGAGTATTGGAATAATTTTTGATAAAGGTATATAGTCTCTACTGATCAGAGTTTAATATTTGCGTATCCAAAGAATTCAGAAATAGGAGTTTTCGGAGCATTCTTATAGAACTTTTTATATAGTTAAGCTTTTTAAATAAGTCTATCAGCTGTCTGTCTATCTAGCGATCGATCTATAAATATATTTATCTATATCAATGTCATATATATATAATATAAATATATTTATCTATATCTATCAATAACCCTATCTAACTATCAGACTATCTATCTTTCTGTCTATTTATCTATCTATTGATTTGTCTACCTATCCATCTATCTATCCCTTCATCTATCTATTTATGTAACTATCAATAGATAGACCTATCTATATATCTTTTATTATTAAAAAATTATTAGAGATTTTCAAAATATCAAAAAAAAGTCAATGAGGAAATTTTAAAACTCCCAAAAAGTGTTCCAAAAACTTTAAAAACCTCAACCATTTCCAAATTCTACACTTTCTAAGATCTCTAAATTTTAAAATACACTTAATACCCCCTAATTAATAATTTTCTTTAGACAAATACTTACTGTGTGACGCTAGCCATTCATTGTAATCCAAACCAGCTGGAAGATCCACTAAGGCTTTGAGATCAGCTTCAGGTAATTTACGTTCTAGGACACTCTCCTCCAAATACAATTTGGTGTCTGTTGAATTTTGATCGCCATCGCGTTCCTTGCGACGGGCCTTGCTGTAAATATACAAAAAAATCAAGTAAATTAAATAAAGTTCACACTCTATAACAATATATATAGTAAAACATTTAAGTATTTCTGTAAAAAAAGGAGTCTCACCCAGCTACGCATAGAAAACTATCGACTGAATCCTGAGCATAACGGTACAGTGTACCAATGGTATCACCAATTTTAGAAGGTATTGTCGTCACTTGCCACATAAAACGCGCCGTTCTCAATAGACATTTGATCACATACGAAGTCGGTGGAGACGGTGGTGTCGAGGTTGCCGATGTTGTGGCAGTCGTTGTTGATGATATCGTTGAGGTCGATGATGTTGATAAGGAATTACTATTGGCCAATTTGATCTTTGGATCCGTTGCAGATACAAATGTAACACCCACTATTCTTGTTGTTGGCACCTTTGAGCTTAAAGTTTCTTTCATTTTTTGGTATTGTTTACATTGCTTTGGTCATCTTGCCACCTAAGCGGAGATTCCACAAATGGAATTTAATTAGCCCCCCAAAAGAAAGAACGAACCCAACCGAAAAGCTCTTGGGGATTTGCTTCAAATCTTATCTCTTGAAGTTAAAGTTACAATCGCTTTGCTTCAGGGAACTATAACCATGAGTTAGGTGTTTAGTTAAGGGAAAGACTTAAAAAATGCTATTAAAGGTTTTAAGGTGACTTTGGGTCTTAAGATATTAATATATCTTGACAGGAAGACCCTACGGACCTTGAAAACTAAGTTAGTTGTGATTATAAATAAGAACTTGAAATGATTAATGAAAATAATCAAGTACACAGGGGGAGTAAGTTATATCTTTAAGATATAACAAAGAATCTAACATCTTCTCTATGAATTTTCTTCAAAGAACTAACCTTTTCAAACCCTTTAACTATTATTCACTAAACCCCAACAGATCTCCTAACTAAACACACCGACATGGCCTGATAATAAACTCAACCAGTAGAGGGTATATTATAAAGCATAATTCTTATCAAAAACGAAAAATCAACAATTGTTTTGTTGGTTTTCATTTATGCAAAGAGACCGGAAAAGTGCGTATAGCATGTGCCCAGCCAAAAACAAAAAAATCCAAATTTATCAGAGGCAAAAAGCGGCTCTTTTAAGCATTTAAACAAATAAACTTAGTTTTGAATTATAATTATGCCATCCCAGCAGCACCGTCATGAAAGCAGCCAAGCGTGCTGATAAAACTCATATACAAAATGCCTAAATACACACACATATGAACATGACTATATAGAATCATTGTATATATACTGTATATAAAGACCGACAATTGTGCGCATTTGTTTTCCATTATTTGCTGGCACAGGTGAGGCCGAGGTAAAGAGAATTTTCCCCCTTTTTTTTTTTGATTACTCTGAAAGATAATGGAAATTCACCCGCATCCAGGGGGAAAATTCAGGGGGAAGTAATAGTTATTCCATCAAGTGCCAAATAATGCCAAGGACCCGAACATATATATATATATATATATCGATCTAGCTACCTTTGGGTTTAATTTTCTTTTTTTTTCGTATTTTTTTGTGGCACCAAATTTGCGTGTCAGGTCAAAGAGGCGTCGAGAGGTCGTTCCGTATGGTTTGTACTCAAGTCGAGGTTTTTAATGCACTGCCAACGGATGTGTTGCCACCGATGGCATATAAAGATTGTCAGGAACTTGAGGCCAGGTAAGAGACCTGTAATCAGGGGCAAACTAAAGGTAAAAAATCCTTGCAAATTTCAGTACAAACTTGCTTTTCAATGATTCCAAAGCTATATCTTAAGTTAAGCATACCTAAACATATAACCTTGCAATATGTTTTTAAAAGTTTTATATAAGTTGTAAACAATCTGCTAAAAGTCTATGCAAATTTTAAGTGTTATAATTCATGCTATTTTTAATTTATTTATTAAATTTCCCTCTCTCTCTCTCTCTCTCTAGTGCCTTCGTGACCCATATCTCTTAGAGAAGTTTCCCAAAAACCACGTGCTCCTGGAAAGCTTTTAGTCGATTACTCAGTTGTGTCACGGTTTTATGACTTCTCCGATCGAACGAGAACAAACCATTAACCCAAACACACACACAACACTTTCACACACAATTTACACACGGGGGCCCCAATCAAAGTGACGTGTTATGTGGCGCGATAAGATGGTTTCTTGCAATTTCACAAGAAGTTCCACGGAAACGTCACATCAGGCCCTAAAAAATGGGTTTTATTGAGTTGACCCCACTCTTGGTTATGTATTTATTTATTTTCTGTATATTTTGATTCGTTTTTTTAATAGAAATAAACACCTTTGTTGTGTGTCACAGAATAGGCAGCAAATATATTTGCAAGTTTGGATTTTATATCGCATTTCCAAATGCGTCGCTGCCAGTCGAGCTAAAACCAAAAACTAAAAGCCAATATAAAAAACGAAACGAAATGGATACGAAAGCCCCCTAAAAATGGGTGCATAAAAAACAGGTGATAAATAAAATTGAAAACAGTTCCGTATTGGCTAAAGGTGTGTGTGTGTGTGTATGTGTGGGAGGCATTGACCTTGCGATAAGGCATATTATTTAAAATATTTAGAAGAGGAATCAATTAGCCAAAAGACAAAGAGGGTCTTAAGCCTCAAGGGAATATCTAAACAATAACCAATAAAAGACCCCGAGGAGAACCTGTCCTAATAATATATTTATTGTACTAGCAACCAAAGCAAATCGAGTGATATGAAACATATGGCACAAAGTCCCTTGACGGGGAGTAAGCTCTAGAAATGGGCCATATGAGTCCTACCATTAGAGTGGCCCTGAGCACACATGTCCCCAGTTCATGCCCATTTTCCAGTTCATTTTCATTTGCCTAAACACTCTCCCCCTCTTATCACTTTAGATAAGTGCACACAAGCCTGGGCTTTTCCGACTTTATTTGCCTCTAGTACTCGTCCTACTCCTCCTAGCCATATGATATGCCTAAAACCAATCATTGTGATATGGATCTATCAATTAAAAGGCTTTTGCTGTTGCCACACAAGTATAACTTATCTTTTTGTATATATATATTTATACATATCATATTGAAAACTCGCATAGTCACTCGAAACTCGCAACTCAACTTTCAGGTGCTTATCGCAGTTTCCCTTGATAAGAGATAAACAAATATTAAATTGCCAGCAAAAGAAGCGTGGCTTTGATTTACAATAAAGGCAAGTTAAACAAGATTAAAGAAACTCAACTAAAACTGAAGCTTAAGGAAAAAAGGGGGTATTCTTATCGTTTATAAATTATTATATTTATATATATACAAAAAACTCATTTTAAACTTAAGCTTGAGAAGAATTATCCTCAACAAAAGAGTAAGGGGAATTCTTATCGTTTATATGTAAATAATTATATTCCTTGGTTTTATCTTTGTGGCAAAAATAAATACATTTCTCATATGTTTCTCCCTTTTTTTTATTTTAGCTGATTAAACATAAACCCTAGATATAACCTTGGGTGGCACATTTTCCATTCCTATGACACACATATGGGCCATAATTAAACGTTTTGTTTATGCTGATATTTCTATATCAGAAATGTGCTGTTTATATTACTTGCTAATGATGATGAAATCGAAATGGAAATATGGATATATAGGCTGACTAACTGGAGATGATTATTATTACAGAAGAGAGAGGGGGAAAATTGTAATTGAAATGTATTGCCTAATATCTAGACAATGACAGAAACAAAGCCTCATCTCTGACAATGGACAATGGAAGACAGTCCTGAGCCCTATATTGTTATTATTTTTTCCTAACTGCTCTGATATCAACTGTGTGCTTGTGTCTATATGTATTTAGATAGATAAATACCCGCCTATATGCCATACCATGTGGGTGAGGCTGTTATTGTTATTGTTGTTGTTGACGATGTTGAAAGTAAAGGCGGTATAAAGTGGCCGAAAGGTGTTGAAATGGCTATAACAACAAAAGAGCGTAGATATAGGGGAGTAAGTATGATAAGTTAATAGCCACAAATGGGCCAGAAGGCAGTCAACAATTACACTGCCAAAGACAACAAGCAAGAAAAGCAAAATACACGACCGATAAGATATAGTGTAAAGTGATCGTAATAAAAGCTATAAAAGCGACTCTTAAAAAGGGGAAATATATATTTAATTTTCATTAAAAATTTAACGTTATAAACCATTTAATAGGCTTATAAAATATATGCCTTTTTTATGGTATCGTTTTATATTAAATATTTAAAAATAAGCATTCATTTCCTTATGTTTTTAGCTCCAAGTAGCTTTCTTTTGTCAGAATTCGCAACGCAAAACATTGTTTATTTTCAGGCCCATCATGTCATGATGGGAATGATGTAATGGTCTATATGGTGTCTATGGCTATGACTGCCATAAACACGACCCCGTCTAACTAGCTCAGTCTCTGGCTCTGCCTCCAACTCCAACTGACTGATGTGTGTTGTTGTGGTTCAGTCTTCAGACTCAGCTCTCTTTGTGTTTAACACTCGAGGCAAAAGGGCCAAGCCACATCAAGAGATATATATGTGTATAAAAAAGAAACATCTACTGCCAAAATGAGCATGGAAACGTGACAGAATAATGGCATCCATATAAACGTCTCATTGATACACGATATCCCAGGGTGCGATGAAGTAAATGGCATACATAAAAAAAGGCAGCCACAAGCCAAATGTGGGCCAGTTAGAGACGCAAAATGGGAGCTGGCAGCCTCAGATTACACTGGAGTTGGAGATGAAGTTGAGTCAGTAAGTCAGTACTATATATAAGACTATATGAACATTGTTGATCAAGCTAAACTTCCAGATTTTCATTATTTTGAGATCCGTAAACTGGAAACTTTAGGTTCCTTCTTAATAAGATTATGTTGGGTTAAAAAGAAGCTACTTTAAGTAAGCAGAGATGGTCACCCAGTGAGTTGCATGGCTCCTAGAAGGATTTACTTTAATAAAACTGAATTAAGAGAAAATAATTAGGAGAAACACGTTAACTTAAGGGAGTCGTTAAAGTTGATATGTTTTTAAGAATGTTTTTAACAGGTTCCAGCATTCTAAAAGTGCTACCAATCTATGTTTTAATAAAATTCCACTTATTATAATATCAAAGTAATCAAATTTGAAATTCTTCCCTAAATGAAGCACGATAAATTAAGGGATAGTCCTCGAAGTATATGTTTTTAACATTCTCCAGCTTTATAAAAGTGGATTGCATATATTTTGTAGTAATATTCCAATTATTTAAGCATCAAAATAACCCATTCTGAATTCTTTACTCTATTATTTATCCCTTTTTCACTTGAAATCCTGCTAATCCCAAGTCACAATTTGTCTATATTTCCATCTCTGAGTTGCAATCTATAACTGAAAATGTATCTGCCTGTATAAAACCGGTTGAAACCGTTCACTATTCAGATTTTTCATACAGAATACATAATAATAATACTAAATGGCGAGGGCGGCTCTAGAGGCCACTCAACCGGGTGGGATTACGTCATTCGAGCGAGCGAGCAATGCATTTATCCAGTTGGATTCACACCATTCTGGTGCACCGCAACTGGACAATTGTTTACTTTATTGACACGGCCAAATAGTTAATTATCTATTAAGCCAAAGGAACTAACCAACACCTCAACTTGAGCAATTAAGAAATGAATATCGAATGGTTTTACCCTGTATGTGCGTATAAAATTATCATGGCAAATCGAAGCGAAGTGAAGCAACGATCGAGCAGCTTAATTAACTCAAGTACAAAGAACTGGCGATATGTTTGTGTCTGCCCTCCTTTGATCGATGTCAATTTGTGAGTCAACCGAATATACGAGGGGAAAAAATAATAGTACACAAGTGCATGGAATAAATCATAGTAATGGGGGAACGATTAAGAAATAGGTGTTTTATACACTTGTTGCCTTTTGGGAAAACTGTTTCGTTGATTACAAATAAAGTTGAATCAGTAGAGCTATTTTAACTATACGTTTTAAGGTATTTAGGGGGCACTTTTAAAAGAACTTTCAAGTTTTGGAATTGTTTTCAACACTTTCATTAAAATTCTATAAAAATCCCTCACTAAGTAAGGGTTTTTGTAGGTTCTCTGTTCTTTTAAATCTAAGTTTCCCTTCCAGTAATGTCTCATTCTTACTCAATTTTGTTTATTTTAGATTCTTTTGTATATTTAAATATTTTTTAAATACCTTTTCCTGTACACTTTTTACTTTTGTTTCCCAAAACCGTTTCTATACAAATCAACACTAAATTCCTTGCTCATTATCAATCATTGAAATGAAAGCTTTTTTGTTTCAAATAGACCTTCCCTCTCAAGATAAGATTATTTCACAGTCCCCAGGAGCTTTTCAGATTGTGTGTTCTACAGAAACTACACATTAACCAATTAACCCATTAAAGGCTTTTTCTATATGTACACCATATATATATATAGACAGTTTGCATTCATAACTGTGTTCTGAGTCAAGTGGCGAAAAAAAATAAAGTGAAACAAAAACGATTGCAGAAATGAAAAGAAACTTCACAAAACAGACAATGCGGCGTCGATCTATGGAGCAGGGGGAGCGGGCCGGGGAAGAAGGTGTTTCAAACAAATGACAAACTTTTTTGAAGGTTAATCGCGGGCGGGGCGGTATGGAGGGGGTGGGGGGCGCACGGTTTAATCGGGTGTCGAACGCGTTTTTCAAGTCCATTGAAACGAGTGACGCGAGCCCCAAAGCTGACGTTGACGTTAAAGCTAACGTTAAGGCGTACGCTTACGTTTACGCTTACGTCGGTAGCGGTTAGTTTTTACGCACATTTACAAAAAGGGTAAAAAGGGTTTATTTAATGATTTGGCATTAGAATATCTTTATTTTTGTTAACTTTAAACATTTATATTTTAAACATATAAAAATTTGAGTTTAAATATGAATCATTTCAAAGGAAGTTGAACTTTAATTAACAAATTTATGCAGTTCTTAACCGAAACTAGTCAAGATCTTTTCAATTTTGTTTATTTATTCACTCTAGTAAACACATTATTATTTTTCCTTATGTTTTATGATGTTTTGTTTTGTTTAGTTTCACTTTTCTCTTGATATTTGTATTTTCTTTTTGTTTCGCTTCATTTATGGCTCTTTACGCGTACCGTTTACTGTGGCAAATGAGCTTTCGATCACATTTATTTCTTCTAGTGTATACTTTTATGATTTATTGTTATTGTTTCATTAGCAATATCATTGATTCACTGCTGTTTTGTTTTATTCGTTTTAGTTTTAGTTTGTGTTTTTTGTTGCGTGCGTGGGGCCCGCCGTCGGAAGACTGTCGGTCTGTCTGTCGCGCACCTTTGCCTCGGCGCAGCGCGCTTTGATTGCTTGTGGCTAGAGCGAGAGGGCCCGAGCGCCATTAGAAGCGGGAGAGGGAGAGTGAGCACAGGCCCCAACGGATGAGAGAGAGAGAGAGAGAGAGCGAGTGTGTGGGAGCCCACAGACCCGGGGAGAACAAAACAGTAGCAAATCAGCTGTGTGCTATGCTCTCCGCCACGCTCTCTCAGTGTCTCCCCACTTTTACTGCTATCTCCCTCTCTCCACCATCACCTGGTCGCTGCACTTTGAATGAAATTGGTAACGGCAGTTTTTTGCATTTGAGCTTTCATATACTATTGCATATTGCGCAAATATATACGAAACGAAGCTCACATAAATTTTTGTTATGCAAACACGCGTCGCTGGGTTCTTGCTGCTTCTGGTGGGGCTGCTGCTGCTGCTGCTGCTGCTGCTACTTCCTCTTCATCTCTTTCCTCTTCCTCCTGCTTCGCGAATGACGCAGACGAATGTCCCAATGCGCAATGTCGATGAAGACTGCAGAAAAGACAACGTAAGCAGACAACGGAAGAGGGTACAGTGCAGTCTGTGTAGAAGGGAACCTCTAACCAGCTCTTTAAAATTATGTTGCCTACTTCAAGGGGCTCGAGAACTCCCACTCAATATCGCACCTTTACCCAAAACAAATATGGTCAATATGATCAAGCCAGTTTATATATTTTTCACAATAGAAATCAGTATGCAAATTAACATGTTTAACTTAATAAATCTTAAGTGTATTTATTATTATGGTTTTTATTGCCATTCTAATATATTTAATGTCTTGAATTTCTTTAAATCACTTTGCCTGATATATTTTTGTACCCAGTAAAGATATTATTTTTTTTTTTTTGGTAATATACATCTTTTTGGGCATCTTATGACCTCAAGAAAACTTTAAATATTTTCATTCTTTATATCGATTTTTTAGATGATTTATTTTTATCAAATAACCATAAAAAAATATTATTTTAAATTTAATAGATTTGTTTATGGAATAATAGAATCCTCTCTGTACTAGGTTTAGAAAAAAAAAAGTATGGCAAAATGTGCGACAATCAAACAGCTGCGCGCCATCCAAATGAAAATCAAGATGGGGAAAAAGACAGAAAGGTACTGTTGTCTGAGCAGGATAGCCATAGATTGTGCGAGTGAGATACTAAAACGTTTCGTCAAATTGCTCGTTTGCCCCATCAGCGCTTTTGCCGTTGCCGTTTGCCTTTTTGCCTTTGCCAAGTTCAAAATTATTTAAAACAATTAATATTCATTTTGTTCCGTGTTGTTTTCGGTATGTTGTTCTTGCTTTTGTTGTTGTTCCTTTCAATTAGCCTTGATGATCATCGGACTGTCCCTCTTCCGCTCCCATGTGCGCCACCCTCCCTCCGTTTGATGAAGGTGTCAAAAATTGCAGCCATAAATTAATAAAAACAATCTCACAAACGGCCAAATAGCCAGAAATTTATTCAATTAATCGTAACGCCAGAGACAGCAAAACATGAATTTTGTATTCTTTAAATACATAAAGCTTAATTAAACGAACAAAAGACGAGAAATTCTAAAGGGAAATTTATATTATAGATGAATAAATAAAACCTTTTATGCCATTTTGTATGAATCAGTAATTGTTTATTGGAATTTTCAAAGAATATTTGTAGTATTATCCTGTGATGGTCTTTGTTTAATCGATTTTAAATCTAATGATTTCCGTGCTAATAATATGGATAACAATTAAAAACTATTAACAAATTATTCAGCACTTCACGGCTATAGCTTTTCTCTTTTTTCCTGATATCTACAGGATAAAGGCCATTAATATCCACTCAATTGTTGTAGAATAGAGCTTGTCTCTAGGGAAGTAATTTCCAATTTAATTATATTGTTTTCTGCACAATAGAAACAGATTGCCACAGATGTCAGGCTTAAATTGGTGGAGAGCTTGGAGTTCTATTGATTTTGCATGTGGAAGCGGAATAGACAATGGGAGCCACTGTGGGGTCTATGGAGCGGCTCATGGTGAACGCATTAATCTATCAGAGCCACGCTCCATTTACGCGGTAGACAAGCCAAGGGGAGCGGTGCTATGGCCATATACACACACATATGTACCTCACCCCAACCCCAATGCGATGCAATGAAATGTGTGTCACAATTAACAATGGAAATTACGCATTAATCAAGCACAACAACATCAACAATATCAACAACAACAGCTTCAACAACAACACCAACATCAACAACCGCCATTACAACAAAGTATCACCAATTTTAAACGATGCTTATAATTAATTAGAAATAGATTCCTTTAAAAAATCTCCTTTAAAGACTTGTCCGTTATTTATATAAAACATAACTATATAAATATAAATATATTTAAAAATATATATAGAAAAGTAAAGTAAACTCTCGCTTATTTCTCCGTGTAAACTTCTCTACAAAACATGGCAGGAAAAATACATTTTAATTAATTTAATTTTTTTGTTGTCGTTATCCAAGGCGGATGTCTCACAGTGGATTTTAGGGGACTTATTGGAGGGGGGAAAATGGCCAAAGCTTCGATGATATGAATCAGCTTCTGCCAAATTGTGAACGAATCCCAATCATTTTGCCTTTGTGGCTATCTCTTTCTCTTTGGCACAAGACAAAAAGCCTGGCTATAAATCGAAAAGTACCGTTTTCCCTGCTTTTGGCCAAAGCAGTGGAACTCAGTCAGCATACAAAAATGAGTAGGAAATTTAATGTATCTAAACCAAGATACCCTGTTTTTAAGAGTTGAAGATATATTATATAATAATAATCATAAATACTATATATAGTATATAGTATATTTTCTAAAATTTATTAAACTTAGATCATGTTAAATTAAGCAAGACAGATATAAACTTAATCTCATATTGGAAATTATATTAGGATAGAAATTTATAATTAATTTCCCATAAGAAAAATGTATTACCGTGTTCCGACTTGTTTACATCTTGGCAAAATATGTCTTAGATCTAGATCTTTAGGATCTAGGTTTAGCAGAACATGTTTCTATAAGACATCTTTATGGGAATCCAGTACAAAACATCATATTTAACTTGCCGGGTATAACCAGAATCCCATGCTGAGTGAGAGAGTCAAGTTATTGGCTGGGAATGGGAACTGGTAACTGGTAACTGGTGACTCGAGACTAGAGACCTGGTGACTGGTTACTGGGAGACTGCTTACTACCAACTGGGAGACGAACTGGCTTTAAGAAGAGCGGCAAACTCTCTCAGAAAAAACACAGCTGACGACAGCAGCTGTTAGGTTTTGTTTTTTCTGGGTGACTCATTTGGCCCCCAAAACCACACACCACACCTTACCTTACCCACCGGTCATCCCGTCCAAAGTCGGGTGACGACAACTGACATTAATGTTTCGCTGATGAAGGCAAAAAAACAAAACAAAAAGACACAAAGTAATAATAATAATAATGGAAAGTATTTAAAAGAGAGAGAGAGACCGACAGGTAGATGGATGGCAGCTGATGACGGGCCATCACATGTGGCTAAATGGATTAAAAAGCGGCCAAAACAGAGAGAGAGAGCGCACAGCCGGAACTTGGTCCGAAGTCAAGGTAAACTTTTACGAGGCTATAACTTACTCACTGTTTTTTGAAATTTTGCATGCGGGTGAAATTGAAAATATAAATAAAAGTTACCAAAGTGTGTTTGTGGTAGCAAATATTAGAGACCAAACCCACAAAGACAGTGCATTAAAGACATAAAAAAGACAACTAATGCTCTTGTTTTCATAAAGTTGAGGATGAGTTTTTCAATAGCCTTTTTAGTTCAAGATAATGAAGAAATAGATAAGTTATAGTAACTTATTTTAAGCTTCAATTGTCTTTATTTTGACATAGTTTTTCAACTCAAAGTGTATTTGGTTAAGGAAAATTTCCATTGACCTTTAATTCTATGACTTTGGGTTCCCCTCGGTGTTCCAAATCTTCAACTTTTGCCAGACGCTCCGTCTAGGCTAATGGTCAAATAATTACAGTCAACATCTGGACAGCTAACGTTATCCGCTGGCTACCGTTGCACAATTGCCGGTCGGTTTAACCAGGTTCCAGGGGGTCAGGGGTCAGGGAGTTGAACACCATAAGAACACAGTTGCTTTTGTATGGCAATTGTTTCTCTTCCCAAACAGAGAAGTAATTGCTCTCAAGATTTAAGTTATTTCTAGACAATTGTCTCCAAGTTCCGTTGGGGTTTTTTTTATAGAGGTCAATCAGTGGGGTCTTTGGCTTAGAAAGATGTTTTGTAAAAATTTTCTGGGTTTACGATATTATTTTTTGGATTTAGAAAGCTTACTCTTGGTTACTTCAGGTACATCAATGATATATATAGTATAGAGGAAAAGAACATTAGAATTTCAAAGTTCTTGGAGGCTAATTACCTGGTTCCCCATCGCTGACTCTCTGCTGGCCGCCAGGTAATCGTAACGAACTTAGCTCCAAGTACCTTGATACGCCTGCTGGCTGCACTAATTCGAGAGAGCTTGATCCCTCAAGCGCTTTGTCTTTGTCTTAGCCAACAGCTGTTACCTGTGTCAGTCAGTCAGTTAGTGAGTTAGTCATTAAGTGGTCCAGTGCGTAGAGTGTCAATGAACGACGGTGGAGCACCTGTTCTCGTTTGAAAAAAGCCCCCAAGGTGGCTGTCTGTGACAGCTGCTCGTCGACGGGTTAAGGTCCAGATGATTAGCAATATGGAGCTAATGGAAAGCTAACTAAGATCTCCCAACCATCTATCCATCTCTATATATTCTGTTGGAATCGTAACTAAATATATCTACAAATCTCCCTCTCTCTCTGTGGATTTGCTCTCGTAAATCGGAAATCAGCAAAGCAAAAATGGATGGTTAAGCTATAAAAGACCGGGGCATGGCATACAAAAACATATTAAATTGGGACAGGAAATTAAAACGTTAGC